CGAAGTTTCAATCACACTCTAAGTGCGTGCCCGCACGTGGTATTTTGTGGAAGAGCCACACTCAAGGGGCCAAGAGCCGCAGTTTGCTGACCACTGGTTTAAAGAGAAGCTATGGGCCAGCAGAGGTCTGAATGATTCCCTTTTATTTCTTTTTAAATGTTATTGATTTTTTTTTTGAGAGAGAGAAAGGGAGAGGGATAGAGATAGAAACATTGATTGCTGCCTCCTGCACAGCCCCTACTGAGGATCGAGCCTGCAACCAGGACATGTGCCCTGATGGGAACTCAAACCTGTAACCTGTTGGTTCATAGGTTGAGGCTCAACCACTGAGCCATACCGGTGGGGTGAGTATCTCTTATTTCTTAATACCAACCCCAGAAATAAGTCTAAGCCAGTTTAACTCAGTTTGAACAGTGCCAGCGAATGAGGTCAAGATCAGCTGATTTGGCAGAGATGCTTGGCAGTTCCCATGACCACAACCCCCCCTTGACCACAGGCTGTCATTTCAAATACATGATCATCACCCTAAGACTAGCAGAGAACAAGACAAACCAACAAGACCAGAAGTTTTATCTTCATACGAAAAGGAGGCAAGCGCCATTACAATGCCCAATACCAGGGTGATTACATTAGTAGATACATCTCCTCAAAAAGTCTTTCCATTGCTCCCTCCCTGAGACTAATTGTAACTGCATTCTCTAGCAGGACTGGTGGAAAACAGAACAGTCATCTCAATTCAGTGTTTCAAAGGGTTTGCTGTTGACTGTATCAGAGCTACAACTATACAATAACTCAAAAGCTAGAACATTATAAACCTCACCAAAGTGAAGGTAGTATTTTGATTATTTGCAGAGAAAGCATTTAATCTTTTGGGGAAGAATTTGGTTTTAGGTAAAGTCATCTTTTTAAAACTCAAAATTATTTCAATTAAAAAAAAAAGCCACAATTTTTCCGCCCCTCTCTCTTTTTTTTCCTAAGTAAAACTTCCTGTAATTTTCCTCTGCATATGAAGTATATAAAAAGGGACTAAAAATTCTGGTCCAGTAAGATCTACAAATAGTGAAAACAAAATGAAATGGTTAAGAAGTTTTCACAGCACTACTGAATTAAACATGTATGTTTTTTAAAGTACTGTAGTTATTTTAAATCTTCACCTGAGGAGAGAGAGCGGGCGCGCACTCCATGTGAGAGATTGTTGCCTCCTGCACAATTGGGGCCAGGGAATGAAACTGCAACCCAGGTGTGTGCCCTTGACCAGAATTGAACTTGAGACCCTTCAGTGCGCAGGCCGACGATCTAACCATTATGCAACACCACCCAGGGCTAAAGTAATTATCTTTTTAAAAATTTAAATATCCTTTTATTGATTTCAGAGAGGAAGGGAGAGGGAGAAAGAGGGGGGGGGACATCAGTGATGAGAATCATTGATGGGCGGTCTCTTGCATGCCCCACACTGGGGATCGAGCCCCCAACCTGGGCATGTGCCCTTAACTGGAATGGAACCTGGGACCCTTCAGTCCGAAGGCTCTATCCACTGAGCCAAGCCAGCTAGGGCTAAAGTACTAGTTATTTTTTAAAATTCTGCCCAATTCTTTGCTCTCCCACAAGAAATAGCATCTTATTCTATGTTACAAGACAGTACTGCCATTAGAGCTAAACAAAAGGTCCTTTCTAGTCCATTCAGAAAATAGTCCCTCATATGAAAGCAAAGTCCCCACCGGCCACTGCAGCTCTTCATGGAGGGGTTTCTACCCCAACTCCATTCAAAGTCCACCGCCCGGGGGCATTTTGGTGAGTCCATCTCTTTTCAGTCAGCTACTCTTTCTACTGCACACTTTGCCTACTTTCCTTCCTCCTCACGCCCTCAACTCAGAACCCCCATCATCAGCACAATCAAGTCAACTGCCCAAAGGCTATCAACTGTTTTGTTCGAGAGAAACCAACCTGGAGGCAGTTGAAGGAGAAACCTAAGGCAGCGGTTCTCAACCTTGGCTGCACATTAGAGTCACCTGGGAATCTTTAGGGAGGCCACAACATTGGTAACACAGAAAGAATTTCCGGAGGATGAGGCCCAGAAATCAGGATTTTAAAAAGATTCCCAGGTGATTCCAATGTGCAGCCAAGGTTGCGAACCGCTGCCTTAAGGCATTTTCAATAGCCCCACTAGCTGTGCTCTCAATGCAGCAAATAAAAGCAAATGCAAATCACTCCCCGGTGGTTTTCACAAAGTAAACACACCGAGCAGCACACAAAATCCGAATATTTCAACCTACACTCTGTTGAGGTTTCTACTTGAGAAATGATACCAAATCTTTGACATCTAAGTCCGGTGT